CTCTCTCTCTCTCTCTCTCTCTCTCTCTCTCTCTCTCTCTCTCTCTCTTTCCTCTTTCTCGTGACACCGTATCTTGGTTATCAGGTCTCCGCGGGGGCACGTAAACGAGATGATATAACATAAGCGGGGAAAGGTTCCGAGCATTTATGGGGAATCCAAGCAGGCTCAATATGTCATCGGGGGAGACCTTTGAAGGTTGAGAAACTATATAGGCAAGAATAGGAGGCCGAGCCCACATATGCGGGGCGAGGCCCGCATAAAGCGTGGCAGATTAATCCCTTTCTCTTGAAGCGTGTATCGATTTTAGAGAAAAAAAGAAAGAAAAAAGGACGGTTTAAGTAAAAGTTATAGGGTACCAAGAGGGACATTTATAGCGGCCGCGCCAGTTTTATATAAGTAAATGACGTCACACGGAGAGCTCACGTCATTTCCCAGAACTGTCAATGACAAGCCCTTTCCCTCTGACCATGAATAAAAGTTACTTGAATTATCCCCCCCCACATCCCTTCTGGAACCTCAGCTGCTCTGTCGCACGGCGACGTAATTAAACGTCGAAATGCAAGATAGAAAACAAAAGACACGTCTCGTATTCGTAGTGCCGGGATTCCGTCCTAATTCCTAAATGCCGATCGAAATGAGAAGACATAAAAATTTCGGTCAAGCTCTTAAAATCAAACTCCCAAACAGGTCAAACCCTCAATCGTGACGAGATAAAATGGAAAACGACGGATCGGTCTGTTCGACGTCGTTCTTCATTTCATTTTATCGTGATTGCGTGAAAGCCAGAGGGCTTAACTTTGAAAGCGACCGCGAAGAAAGGAGGAATCGCAAAGAGAAACGAAGGGCACAATACGGATTTCTATTAACTCCGTTTAATTCACTCGCCTTCGCCGCCGAAGCCATCCAGTGCCGTGCCGTGCCGCGCCGCGCGAAGGACGTGAGGGATTGATCGATAGCGGGGTGACGTAAAGGATCCCCTGAATTGGTCATTTATCGCCCGTAAGGGCTAATGTTGACGTTGTCAACATCAACGGAGCGTTTAAACGCTCCGCCTCGGCGGAGGTGGGAGCCAGGTTCCATGAACGTACGCCATCGTACATATGTATATCGGTATTATCGGTCGTATATCGGCGCGAACGAGTTTATCAGCAAAGTTCAGCCGTCAAAGGCATCTAATTTCAACTTTAACCCTTTTCCGCCCACGCGGGCGTATACGAGTCCTCCCCTTGCCCCTGTCTCCCACTCCACGGCGACGGCGGCGGCGACAGCATCCTTCTCCCGCGTAAGATCCAGATGCAATTACGCAATGCGCAGTAAAAATACATCCGCGGAAAATGTCAGTGGAACGGCTGGAATTACGTTTCAAGGATGCTGCGTCCGTTCAAAAGGTTCTGCATGCTCGCGTGAACCTCTGTGACACGAGCACCTCCTCCCTCCCCCTGCTCCTTTGCCCCCCCCTTCGTCTCTCTCTCTCTCTCAACGACGGCGACGACAATGGTGTTCCCGTTAGGGACAGCGTTATCGGCGTATCCGATCGAACGCGTTTTCCTCGGGATTATTTCCGGTCTGACATTTCCGATATCGTCGCACATAAATGTCGTTGCTCTAACGAGGCTTGTCTTCGTATATGCGAGAGACAATAAGCGAACGTCACCTCGGGACGATCCAGGTACACGTGTTGTGGAGAGAACGAGGAGGAATTTATATTGAACTTCAAATCAAAGAGATTTTTTTTTTTTAACGAAATACTTGCTCCGTTAAAAATCAAGCCAAAGTTGACGAAGAGAAAGGAAAAAAAAAGCTAGCGAATTGATTTATAGAAAACTATCAATGTTGGTACCTGCAGGATCACCGTGAACGTACTTCCCTACTTCTTCTAAAAAAAAAGGAGAATTCAGTTCCTAAAAAAACTTAGGAAGAGGAGGGAGAGGCGCGAGTCGACGCAATTTCCGTCGCGCGCGTGATGATGCCTAACCGGCTCGATCTCTCGAGGAAACCTAACCTAACCTCCCGCCGATAAACGTGGGCCGGCGAGAGCGACTCTTCCCCCCCCCTTCCTCTCCTAGCTCCGGGAGCGCCGATTCATGCGACTCCGCTCGTTTTAATTCGCCTTAATCGCGACGTCACGTCCCCTTCCTTCCGCTTCGACTCACGTGCGGATGTGAGCTTAACTCGCCGAACGGGTAGGGCAGGGTAGGGAGGAGAGGGAGGGGGAAGGGGTAAGGAAGGGACTGACCACTACAGGCCGCGACCGCCTTTCGACGGTCGCTCCAACAATATGCCGACATACGCGTGCGTGATGTACGACCGCGTGACCGGCGTGACGGAGGCCTCTCCGATCTGTCTCGGGATCTCAAATTCCCCCTCCCCTCGCGCGTCTTCTCGAGATGAAGATTCGGGACGAAGGTGATCGAGATCGCCGGCGAGAGATCGGATTATCAGTGAGAATTTCTCACACCGCGTAAATCAGTCGATCCGATCTTATCGCCAGTCAACGTGTACGTCAGTTTGCTCTGTATTCATAACTGTAGAAAACTAAACTCAGACACACACGTTTCTCTGTTTAGAAAATTCAATATTTTGCGCAATTTGGCTTTGCAGTCGGAATTACTACAATCGTTGTAACTGTCATACAGCGGGGATGTCAAGTGACTCGCGTATATGTAATGATAGAGTCTTGAGAAAATATAAAAATATTTAAATATGAGAAACTATAAAATATGAAACTTATAAAATCCGAGGATTTTGCAAGTTGTAATTGGATGCACTTGTGCAATAAGGAAACCAAGCCATTTTCGTGATTTTTAGTTCTGTGGACAAGGGTTTTTCTCTAAAAAACGTATATTACACATAGATTTGTATTTGCGGAGGACTGGTAGTTCGGTCATTATTTTCGAGATATAACGTTGGCGTAGAATTTTGCTTCTAATGTTTCGGCGA